GATAAAGACTGAGAACTTAGTTGTCCGGATCTTTATTTGTTTTACAACGCTTTATATTTGAAGAACTGAGGACTTCTCCTCGAGTGACTGTTCATTGACTACAGCAAACACAGTAAACTTTGCCGGTGAATATCTTTGATTTAATTTTTTTATCGATATACTTAGCAAATAACTGTTTAGCTTTTTTAATGTGGAGATGTTTGTGTACGAGATATCGAGATCTACCACACAGCAAAGATTCAAGGAACGAGCATAATCCTTCCTGAAATGTGAAAGCGTTGTTTTCGTGCCGCTTTGTGCAGATTGTTGTTAATCTGTGGAGAAACCTTTGAATGCTCAGACATTCGGAGGAGTTATTCGAGGAAGGTTTTCTTAGCTGTTTGTTACTCGCCCAAACATGTCCACAGCACGATAATAAAGGGATTAATGTGCAAGGTTAAATATTGGTAAATAAAAATATTAAATATTAAAAGCTTATGGCTCTTTCAAGAGGATATGGTCGTCTTTGTACCTCTTGGGTGTGGCTTTTACCTTTTCACAGTCTTACCCCTTTACCCCTCTTGGACTCTCTCGTCCAAAGAAATCCTGCACAGATATACGTTATAGAAATAGACTGCGAAAGGGGAGTGCAGGCGCAAAAATTGCAATGTCAATTTTATGCCTGCGTTCGCATCACTCAACAGATTTTCCCCATACGGGTACGGAGAAACCCCCTTTGAGCCTTTGCGGGACTTTCCCTTGTTGAAAACGTCAAATTTCCAGACGCTTGTTGAAGTGGCTCTAAGGCTGGTTTGAGCACAATGCCTTTCAGACTTGGAAGTTTAACTTAACCCTCGGATTCATATCCCGCACCATGATTCAAAAGGGGGCGGGGGGGGGGGAGTGAGTGGGTTTGAATGGAACCCCTCCCTTGCGTTTTCGTTCTGTTAAGGCACAGCGAAAATAATTTCTATTGAGTAGATAGCCCTGAGCTTGACACCATTCTTGTTAGTTATGACGTCAAATGAGGTCATTTGTCCCGGGATCTTGGATCCGCCATCTTGGATTCCAGCGGGGATTAATGCAAATTCAAGCCAGAATACTTATGGAATTTAAACAGTTATGAATTTCTGCAATTGGATGAAGAACACTGGAAAAATAGAGAATTGTGTCAAGAAAACATGATTTTTCGACCTGACCTACATCAAATTTGTGGTTGCCACGGCAACGTCAAAAATAATGGACACACACTTGAGTATCTTAGAGTAAAAAGTCTCTTTAAAACTTTTGAAAAAAGTTATGGAGGAGTGCATGCAGCCACCCCTCTCCCCTTGTACGCCCGGGGGTTTTGTTTGTTTGCTTTTTCCATTGTTCTGATACCTGTGGAAGCCAGTCACTTTTGGAAATGTAAACGACAGGATTGCAATGTAAAGCTACTTTACAAGTTACCAAAAAAGATAATTTCCCCGCTAGTGCTATTAGCCGAATGTTGAATACTTGATCTCAGGTCAAACGAAATGCGATCCACTTCATATGGGCTCTCGACACATAAGAGAATGAACACCTACAAAACACAAACAATTGTTAACTGCCAGGTTACTGACTACAGTCTAAACTCGCTGTTTCAAACTCTCACGGAAAACGGAAAATAGTTTTAAGATGTCGGGGATTAATATAAGTGATTAAAAAAGTATGCCTGACAGAAAGTCACTTGAGTTGGGATAACTGAGTCCGAAATAGCGAGCTTCTACTGCACACAGTAACTTGTTACACCTTCATCTATATTTAAAATCTGTAAAGGGATTAAGCCATCACCGGATATAAATAAAAAAAATAGGAAATAATAAATGTAACTAAATCTCTACTGGGATAAAAATTGGCGTGAGTGGTTCTACATCAACATTCGGTTGGTCTATCTCTTCAATATAGGAAGTGAGCTCAGTCCGGTATAGATTTTTTTCATAAAAGCTGAATTTGTAAGTATGCTCATAACCAAGCATTCAAAAATTTTTTTCTCTCCATTCCCCTGAAAACCAAGGGTTTATCGAATTAGTTTAGAGTCCCTGGGACTCGAAAATATCGTCCAAGTTCTTGGAAATCTAAGTAGGTCAAAATCACGGTGCGCGTAGCTCGGTCTCGGCGACTTTCCAGTCACTAAGTGAGTTAAGCTTGCAGAAGTTGAATGTGTGAATTTCATGAGATGGCAATGTCTAGTTGATCTCCGCTTGGGCATAATATATTCAGGAATCTGGAGGTCTAACTCCCCACACATCATAGTGAGTCTGGCTTCCTTCCGACGCTGTTCTAAGGACGCCCACTGTAGCTTGTTCAAGAGCCGGGTTACAAACCCTGATGTGTGAACATACTTCCAATGTCATTTGATTTGTTAGTCAGCTGGGCTTGTCCCCCTAAGGCCACGAGGAGCACAGCATAACTAAGGGATCAGAGCAAATGTAGTTCCCAGAGCCTTCGTTTCACTTGTCGCTCTCTCCACTGAGCTGCCGGAAATCTCGGAACAAGATTGTCCTGACACACGGTAATCTCAGCGCAACATATTCTCTAAAACCACTGAGCCTGCGCTTTGTGTAATTTCTGGTAAACTTGACGTAAGTACGATTGGTTTAAATGAATTTCCATCACTTTACCTTTCGTTCTCCCACCACTTTCCACAAGTCCACCACTCTTCCACTTTTCTTGCCTCGCAAAGCGGCTTTAGCTTCCTCAAGCCACACGGTCAATAGTTGGTCTTGCGTCTTGCCTGAAACAGAGTTGGTTTGGAGGTAAATAAAATGATCTCTTTACAAAACTGAAGAATTAAATATCATTATCCTCCTTCCACAAAGTAACAACATAATCATCGTTAGCTGACCGCTAGCTTTTTAACCAAGAACAAGAGCCGTGCTGACAAACTATCGACCCTACTCCTGGACAGTATGGATCGAGTGCAGCAAGGTCAGATCCTCAGAAACAGGTAAATGATACTACAAAGGATCAAGGCAGGATGTCTCGGACTAAAGAAACTATACTCAGAAGTTTTAACTACGACGAACTTGATTCTTTTCCTGTTCACCTTTCAATAGCACCTGAACTCTGCTAAATAAAGATTTCAGTGTTTCGCTGTCGTGAATAATCTTAGGGAACGGGGCCGGGTTGTTCAAAATCCGATCAAGCTAACCCAGGATTAGCTCGAATTTTGACTTCAGTTTTGAAACTTTTCGGCGAAGTTTTCTTTTTATTATTGCTTGTACTTCAGTTTTGAACTTTTAACAATCTCAAAGTATACAACACATAAGCAATGAAAAACATTTCTAGACAAGAAAAATTAGTACTTAGGTTAACTTTTAATCTTGGATTAGCACTGATTAACCGGGCCCCGCGGAAGCTTAATTAAACTGACACACCACTGACACTGATCTTACCTGGGTATTCGATATTAAATGTAACCCAGTAGAATAAACCTGCTTTTGGGACTGTGGGTATGTCTTCAAATATCGCCTCATCTCCAGCGTTCACTCTTTGCTTCAGATCAGTAGCTAACCCTGCGTAAGACCTTAAAGGTGTCACTTCCATTTGAACCTGGTCTCCCATCTCTTTGAACATCGGAAGGTGAAATGAAAGACGGTCTATATCGTCAGGGCTATCGGCTCTCATGACTAAAACAAAAATAAAAACATATAACAGTTCGTTTGTGGAAGGTTTCTTTGTGTTGGGACCATCACAGGTAGTTTCTCTTACACTCACCGCAAAATACTTTGCGTTCTCCGACCACCTGAAAGTACAAAGATGATAAGACTCTTGCATCAATATCAATTACATCGCTAAATAATGATCAAACAATCAGGGTTGGCAGTAACCTCTATTTTAAATTAAGGGCTAATTGCTTGTCGTCCTGATTGGATGTTTTTTTCGTATATAGCGCCTCCCCCCCTCCCTCCCTCCTTCACCTTCCAACGTCTTCCCTGGGGCGTTTTCCTTTCAACTGCAAGGCGTCCTGAGAACCAGGTTGTGCCCCTACTCCCCGCGTACTGGTGTGACTCTTTGGAACTGAGCTAGAACACTGTGCCAAGCTTTAACCCTTTTACTTTAACTTTCTATATTTATAGGGAGTTTAAGAAACCACGACGGTGACGCCGTGGACGAACTCGATTAAAAAATGAGTTATATTTTACCTACGAATCTCGCGACACTCTTAATTAAGTCATTTACTTTGTTGAGATACGTTAATAAAGATGGTGAATTTTAAGCTCGGTAATGAAACGTGAAGGTGAATTAATCAACACGACACGAGCGTGGGACAAAGAAAAATTCTGAGTCCCCGACAGGAATCGAACCCATGACCTCCCGAACACCGGGCGGG